AAGCCCAACAATGGATGCCGTAATCATGATCACGGCCTTACACTCAGAAACAGCAAAATGATTTTTCTGCCCTGCTAGAGTTTGTAGTAGTCGAATAGTAACAAAGCTGAGATGACGACCGCAAGGGTGATAACATACCTCGTGTAAGTCTTAAAGGAGGATTTTACGATGAGGTCAACCTACTCCAGTGGAAAGCCACACAACCCCCTAAAGGTGCAGACCGACACCCATTCGCAGTGAAGCATATGCCCGCGGTGACTTAGCACAGTCGTCCCGCGCCGCTATCTCCGCGGCACGCCCCCTTCTCACCGTCTGACGCCGGCTGATCGGCAGAGAGAGCGTTGGCATTGAAGAGGGCAACGCCATCAATGCGCAGAACCCAGAAAATAGCCTTTTCAAAATTTGGGAAACGCTTTGTTTGTGCCGTTTTCATCTAGATAAGTTATGTAATACTATCTTCCTGCTGTTCTTTACAAATATTTATTTATAGGCATTTGTTCTTGTTCGATGGTGGGATCCTGTTCTGTAAGAAGCGGAATGCTCCAAATCAGCCCTCATCACTGGATCCCGAGTACTACGAGCACAAAATGTGTATTCCAGTAAGTTTTTCTTGCAATAATCTTCGATCATTCCATGTTCACTTTTTGCATATCCCTCTAGAGAATGCGGAAGAACCTAAGAAAGCATGCATTCCAGCAGTAGCATAAGCGGTGATGGCAGATCCATTGCCTCGACTCCCTATTTCACTTACCTTGTTGAAGTATCTTCGCTGCAGAGGAAGTGAAGTCGTGTTCACGGTGAAAATATTGAACGATGTTTGAAAGACTGCGTTAGAGTTGTCCGAAAGAGAAGTGTTGTGGTTTCTAGCGAGGGAAACTTGCTCAGAGAGAGACATCCCTTCGCCTGGCCGATAGTGTAAGAAGCTGGAGAGGTGGTAGGGGTTCATGTCGAGTTTGAAAGGCATGGGAAGAGGAAACTTCTTGGAACAAACTTATCGCAATAGTCAAGCAGTGAAGATGGGTAAAGGAGGGTTAAGGGGATGTCATAAAAGTCTTGAAAATAGTCAGAGACCACGATTCACCCCCGGAGTTGAGTTATCAAATTTGATGTGTCCTGCAACAGCCAGTCAAGCTAATCCATTCACAAAGACAAAACGTAATGGAATACTGATAATTTAGTATGGGTCTTCGGCGTTTAAAGTTCCCGTCTTCATCACCCCAAATCAATCAAGCCAAGTTAAAGGCATGCTGAATTTTCAAAACTTGTCCCTTCAGCGTTCATAATGGAAGGTGTTACCATGGGAAAGCTAGTTTGTTCTTTCTTTCTGGCAAATTCCAGCGGTTTCTTTTCCGAGTGATCATTCGATACAAAATTGATCGCTGTTGGCTTTCATATTTTTTCGTTCCAGCTCAAAGAATTGCTCTTTAGTAAATTTCCCATTGTAAGCCATTCCGAAGGCTCCGAATGGCTTGAATGATTCATTCTACTGCAGATTATTGCAGATGTCATCCCTGGGTTTCTCTGAGTTGTCCCGTTCCGGTGGTTCACGTTTCGAACTGTGGGACGAGGCGAAGTCTGATGCGTACGCGATTGAAACGTTGGACGCTGAACAACGTCAGCGATGGATTCAACGCCTTTCACGAGTCGCACCTCGAGAAGACCAACTAGTTCGACAACGACCGAAGAGCTGGACGAGCACGATCTCGAATGATTCGACGTGTTCAAGTAGTACGAGAAGTAGCGATAGTGAAGTGTGGGTTTTTGAAGTATCTTGCTCCATAACTGATTGTACATTTTTATTTCTTTACGGTCTTAACCACTTCGGAATCGGTTTGGTCCTTAAAGGAATCTTCCACGGAAAAAGCTCCGCCCTCATTACCACAGAAAACGATACCTTAAAGGAATCTTCCACGGAAAGAGTGATCATTTTGTCTTGTGTGTAGGATTAGTATTATCGAAACTAACGCTTATGTTCCGTTCTTTTTGCTATGCTCATGAGGCTAGGGGCCTAAGGTATCGTTTTTCTGTGGTAATGGAGGCGGAGCTTTTTCCGTGGAAGATTCCTTTAATTGCGTTTGATCATCAATCCAATAATCCATTTTCAGGCCAGTTGACACGAACGGTAACTCGAAGTCGACCGCAGTGTTCGCCCCGTCTTCAGAAAGCCCAGATAGTACTGCAGTAAGTCTTTGTGGCAATCACCCTTTGAGCCCAACTTTGTCGACGTGAGATAGGATTGACTCTGCCGAGTTTTCTAATAAGGAAGTTGGTCAGCGCATCGTTCGCGAGGGTCACATTCATTTCTGGCGCTTTCGCTATTTTCTACATCTGGCGTCGTGAATTTTTTTGAGCCAAATCCGTTGAAAGCTAAACACTTTTACCATTGCCCTGATTAACGATCATGGAGGCTCAATCTTCTTTGGCGCCAACTCAAATGTCGGCTTTTACTCCCTAAATAGCGTCACGCCCCCCCTTGCCAGTGTCGTCGCATCACGACGACGGGGTACGACATCTCAGTTCCTGAATAATCGCCCAGAGGATTTTCCTGCGCAGTTTTGTCTCGGGCTCTTGCTGGCTTTACCAGGACACGGCCTTTCAACTTTCCCATGGGCAACTTTGAGATTAGCCCAGATATATTCGACGAGTTTCTCACGCGCTGACTCAACTCCGCACCTCAAAATACGCAAATGAACTTGCCAAGGAAGTTGTGAGCAGTCAAAGTTGGCTGGAAGTAAAGCATCACACTAGCCTCCGGGCTTTCATAGTCACCGCGGAGCAGTGGTGGTGCCCTCGCTATTCACCCTGGAGGTCATAAGCTCTCCTCCCGTCGGAGCGCAAATTCCGAGAGCACTACCACTACTCCACGGCGACTTTGAAAGCCCAAAGGCTAGTGTAATGCTTTACTTCCAGCCAACTTTGACTGCTCACAACTTCCTTGGCAGGTTCATTTTGCAGTTTTAGTTTCCATATTTGTAATCAGCGTTTGAAGCTCTATCGATATATCTGGGTCTCATCTCAAAGTTCCATGGGAAGTTGAATGCCTTTCCTGGTTAGTGGCTCCTGCGCCAAAAATGACTGTCCAGTGCATAAATATAGAACTACTAATGAACCGTATAGCAAAGAAAAGAAAACCCGTACAGGCTTCAGCGAAGCTCGTATATTTTTTAAAGTAGCCAAAGAAAAAAAGCAGTACAGAGTGAGGACCTCCCCTTTCAATCTCCATTGCGTACTACTCATAAAACAGTTCAGGAATAGATAGGTGTGAATTTTGTTCCCAATGTTCGGCACTTACAAGGGAGGTCTTTCAGGGCAAGCCACGCTTTTTCAAAACGGTTTTTGCATATTGTAGGGACGCATGTAGGGAACACAAAACCATGTTTCATTTTCGCTGAACGGTTATAGCAGTACCAAAAAAGAAGCATAAGGTACTGTTAATGGTTCGATCCCCCGTGGCGACTAAATTTTGCATTTGGGTTGGCGCCTACGGTTTGGTGCCAAATCGCGCTAAATGTCGCACTTAATGCACAGATCTTGTACGGTATATATGTGTATATATGCGTCTTTTGAGTCGAGAATCCAGCCAGCAACATGAATGTCGCAGCTACCGAAAACTCATAGCTGATAAGGTGCTGTTTTGACTTACTTGAATCTCTCAACATTCTAAGAATGTAGTGGTAGTAATGGTGAGGCGATCAGGAGCAAAGCTGTCAGCCACTGAAGAGTACTCCGTTGGCGTCCAGCTATCGACGGGCCGCTTCAGATTCACCAGTGTATGCTAGTGTATCTCTGATCATCCCCACAGGCCACCCACTGTACTTGATGCGGAGGTTGGC